AGTGAAATCTCGCACCAATTTAAACCATACCCACTGACATTTCAACACAATTAGCCCCATATGATTAAACAACTTCTCTGAAATCCACTGACGACAAAATCTTGGCCATTGAATAAATTATTGTGTCTCGAGAATCCTGACGTCAAAATTGACGTAAAATTCAATTCATCCTCAAATAAATCCCGAAACTCGGAAATGGAAACCCTAATTGTTCGAGGGATTCCTGAAGATGACTCTGCTTCCTAATTTGTCAATAAACCGTAAATTAAATGATTAATTCGCCCTTCAACGGTTAAAGCGCACATGATGTGATTCTCCTGCACACAAAAAAAAACAGACTAAACAAACCCGTTAGTGGTTAGTTAAATGTAATGCCAACATGAGATGAAATGCGACATAAACCTACTAATATCAAGGCAAAATTTGGGGTATTACAGTTGCCCCTATTTAAATATCTTTACCGGATGATTTGAGTGACGAAGACTCGAGGAATCACGGTGAAAGGGATTTAAATACAGATGACCGAAAATTTTGCCTTTAGACGCAGTGGTATGCAATGCTATGGACAAAATGAAATGAACTATACTGGTAACAATATAACATGATGCGTATGTTGGAATGATAAATGCAAGAATGCAGACGGCACGACGAATAACCCATACTGGGGAATACGACACACAGGGGAAACAACATGACACTCGGAAATTCTAAAGTGATGGCCAACTGGTGCGAGCACGACCGATTGTCACTTTAGAAGGAACTATAAGAATGGAATCCACAATGGAGATGGCACCTGCGAGACAACACCCCCTGGGGAATACCCAAGAGTAATTGTTCAATAAGTTCTGGCGTGACCGGCTGGCACTCTAGGATGACAAGGTAACACAGGATCCACACGGCGGTAGGATCGGGTAAACTACAGGTGCTAGAGTTTTCGGGACATTCTTTTGAACGAAGAGATCGAGCGGGATCTTTAGGAATCATCCAAAATATACAGAGAGAAACAAACATCGGAAACATCCAGAAGAACATTGAATGGTTTTTGAAACACACCAGAGATACTCGGAAAAACATCGAATAAACTCTGGGCTACATCTAGAGGCAAAATAAAAACATCTATAGGAGCATGAGATGAAGACAAGTCTCTGAACGTATACCCGAAACATTTAGGGAAGCATTAAATATATGGGAAGAGTTTGAAGACATATCTGGAAGAACATCATATAAGCAACAAAGGAGTTCTGGAAGAACAACAGAACCAACACTCAGTTTGGAAAAACATTAGAAGGAGAAACATATCCGGAACAACATCGGATAGATTCTGGAAAACCATTAGAATCGAAGGAATATCTGGAAAACCATCAGAGAAGTTCTGGAAGAACATCAGAACAAAGACTCAATCTGGGAAAACATCAGAGAGACATACAAATCCGGACAAACATCGGGTAGATTTTGGAAAACCATCAGAATCACATGGGTTATCTAGAAAACCATCAGATAAGTTCTGGAAGAAAAATCAGAACAGTGACTCAAACTTGAAAACCATCAGAAAGAGAAATAGATCCGGAAGAACATCGAATAAGAAATGTCATATCTGGAAGAACATCAGATAGACACGACAAAAACTGTTTGGTAGGTGCCAAGTAATTTGGATTTTGACCAAAAGGTAAGCGTGGATAAAACACGACCTCGGGAGAAATGCAAATGAGGATGAAACACTCATGATATGTATATGTATATGAATTATTCTATGATATATGATCAAATGTTAACACAAATGTCGACGACAAGGCTCGACTCTTTTGGTGAAATGACAAGACTGGGAGACTGATTCCTCAACATGGAGATCATTTCCTTCTGCTTAAACTGTATCAAGTTGATAGTCCCTGCAGGAAGGACGAAGAGAGCCGCCTGTGGATTCTTCAAGTAAACTGCCCCAGATTAAACTATCTGTTATAGAGGAACTGATACTTGCTTCAGCTTGTCTAATTCGTGAAGATGACTGTTTTACTGTACTCTCGGAAGCTCTTCCCCAATCTGAGTCTTGAAAAATCTTTTGGATAAACCAAATCTGAGAATACCTTGCCTCGAACAAACTTTGAATCGATTCTTAGACAGGATGTAAAAGGAACTTGCCCCTGATAGGATCACTTGACCAAGTTTCTCGATTGTTTGAAAATTCCTTAGACATGTGGCTTAATGACATGAAAAATGATTTATACACATTTTTTTGATTTTATTATCAATTAATTCTAAATACAACAAAATGTTAAAATGTGATTGGTTAATGACAAAAAATGAGGATCATGTATGTGCACCCTTGATTAAATTTCAATCTGACGATCCATATTTAATCAAAGAAGCACACCTAATTAAAAATGACAAAATTGCCCTTTCTAGAAGCTTTAATTAATTTAATAGAATTAAATCAATTGAAAACCTCTAAAAATTCACAACTTATTAAATAAATATGCTAAAAATGAAATGCAAGCATGGAAAATTCTAATTAATTATTCTGGACATTTTGATGAAAATGTAAAAATAAACGGGTAAAAATGAACAACAATTGGGCGAAAAAGTGCCTGAAAGATTAAAACGGCTGTGCACAAAAGATTAATGCGAAATAAAAAAGACATGGAAAGATGCAGCACTCAGTCAACTTTGAAAATTGACAGGGACCGGCAAAAAACTCAGACTGATCAAAAGTGATTGAAAATTCGTCGAGAGATAAGATGAGCGCGCTAGATTAAGTTTTAATGAAAAGTAGGTCAAATCCTTAATGCCTGCATGCTTAAATTCGAAACTTTTTAATCGTTAATTTTTTTCATATATTTGAGACACAACTCGACCAGTCCGTCTGTATATCCAATAAATTTGTTCTGGCTAATCATTTTGTGAATTATTCAAGTTGGAAAATATGTTATGCTGTACAAGCGATGCAAAGTTGAAAATAAAGTCAGACAAATGAAAATTTGCAATAGGTAGGACAAAATTGGGGTATGACAAGCACATAGGAAATTGAACTCAAATGATCAAGTACACAAACAATAGACTTCTGACTCTATAACAAATTGTTAAGAGATTTGGGTAACAACTACACTTTATATACAAACAAAGGTGTAGACAGAATGCAACTTAAAGACTCTAAGACTTAAGAACTTCTAAAATATACACAATGTTAAGATGTTCTAAGTCTAGCTTGCTTTTGACATAATGACTTCTCTTTTAAATGTCAATGTTTAGAGCCTTGTATTGCAGTGTATTCATGTAGTCTTGCTCTTCAGATTTTCTACTCCTAAAAGGTTAGGCTAGCTTTGTACTTGATTAGACACATCAAAAAAAACACATTTGTACAATAGAAATTATCCGTTGAAGTTCAGACAATAAAAAAGAGAGTTTTATTTAAGTCTTCACGTCATTAAAAAGTCTGAGACTGTCAGAGTTGTCTTGATAAAGATAAGATGCTTTTGAGGTTGACTCCACTCTTTAGAGCCTGATTACATAAGAGTCTGCTTCTTGACTTCTGAAGCTTTAGAGTTGGGTCAACAGAGGCTGACTTTCTTCAAGCTTGACTTCTTAAGAGTTTGGATCACCATCAGAGCCAGATTCTTTAGAAGTGATCGTCAAAGCCAAAGTCTGAACTCTAGATTCTTTATATAATCATGGTTTAAATATAAAACAAAATTAAAGTATTTAAATATCAATTAAATCCATTTAATATATTTGAAATTTTAAATAAATAATTTAAAACAAAAAGATAAATTAAAATTAATATATTTTGCTGCAAAAAAGATTGAACAGTAATTAAAGATTATTTTTCAAAATGATGTTAAGTCTTATTTTTATAAAAAAATAATTAAAAAAGTTTTTAAGAGTTCAATTTATGGTTATAAAGATATTTTTTTAAGTATGAAATAGAAAGTTTGTTACAATTAATATCTTTTGCCTAAAATAGAAAACGATAAAGATTAAATATTAATGAATATATCCCTAAATATTAGAAGAATGATATCTTCTCCTCTCCAATTAGTTAGCATTAATTATTGAAACTAACATAAAAAATATTGATTTAATGATATATCCCTAAATATTAGCACAATCCTTAAAAATCGTAACAACTAACAACTACACAAGTGCTGAACACATAACATTTACCTTAACAGCATCCATGTCACAAAACACAAACCCTGTTTCTTCAATTTATAGTTTGAAATAAATATATATGATTTAACTTACCAACATTTATTTTATTTTTTAACTTTTATTAAAATATGAAGAAAAAAGAATTTATATATAAAATGACATAAAAAAATATAAAATTAATTTTAAATTTTAAATTTATTACTTAGTTGAGGGGAGGGAAATGAATTTTCAAGGATTCACAAAAGAAATTAAGAGAAAAACATAAACAAAATAGAAGAAGAGTTAAAATTCTAAAATACTAAAATAAAAAGAATTCGAGATGAATTTTGTTATATAAAAGAAAATAAAAATAAAATAGAAGATAAGGTATATCCACGAAATTCATATGCTAATAAACATAAGCATCAACATTATATCTGCATAACCTATAAGTGATTTTGGCATATGAACTCTATATCTATGCTTATAAAGTATGAAATAGAAAGTTTGTTACAATTAATATCTTTTGCATAAAATAGAAACGATAAAAGATTAAATATTTTGAATATATCCCTACATATTAGAAGAATGATATCTTCTCCTCTCCAATCCCTAAATATTAGAAGAATGATATCTTCTCCTCTCCAATTAGTTAGCATTATTATTGAAACTAACATAAGAAATATTAATTTAATGATATATCCCTAAACATTAACACAATCCTTAAAAATCGTAACAACCAAGACTTATATATACATATACACAAGTGCTGAAGACATAACATTACCTTAACAGCATCCATGTCACAAAACACAAACCCTTGTTCCTTAACAACATCCATGTCAGAAAACACAAACCCTTGTTCCTTAATAACATCCATGTCTGAGTACACACAACCTCGTAAAAGACTTATCATCAAACTCAAATACCCTCCTGGTTCTAGGAAACATGATTCAGATTCTTGTGGCAGAGATGAAAACAAGAGAAGGAAGATTGAAGATTCTGTAAAACCAATCATAACATGTTATTGGGTTGATTCAAATTATCATACTAAATCATCAGCTTTGTCTCAACCAAAGAATAATGACAATGTTGTTGAAGACAAGAAGATGATCAAGAACCAAGTTTCCAAAACAACAGCTTTGGCTCAACCAGAGGATAATGACAATGTTGTTGAAGACAAGAAGATGATCAAGAACAAAGTTTTCAAAACAAGAGCTTTGTCTCAACCAAAGGATAATGACAAGAAGGTGATCAAGAACCAACTTTCCAACACAATTATGCCTAATAACATTGTTGTTGAAAACAAGAACCAAGTTTCAAAAACAGAAATAGCTTTTAACGGTCGGAAAGAAAGTTCAAGAGGTGAACCGATGGAGTGTGTTAAGAGGAGGCAATGTTGGTTGATATTGAAGATAATGATGGTCGATAGAGATGGGTGGGATTTGAAAGATCCTCCAAAAATAGCAATGATTGATAAGTCTGAGTTAAAGTCAAAAGCAATTGGTTTGAAGGATATTGAGAGAAAATTGAGGTTGTATGCAACACCTGATGAGTTTGCTAGTGACATAAGGCTTGTGTTCTCAAATGCAATGCTCATGTATCCTCCAAGGAATCATATCTACCAAATTGCAAAAAAGTTTAGTGAAAATTTTGAACATAAATGGAAGTCATTGAAGGATACGTGGAAACTTGAGGATAGAAAAAGAAGCAAGACTCACAAGAGTACAAGATACTAAAGAGTGCAACTCAACTTTATATTCTGTTTACAAACTATTTTTTCCTTCTCACGGTTGAAAGTACAAGTTATTAGATCAAAAATTTGAAATCATAATTGTATCATGCATGTATTTTATTAAAATGTTCATAGCAATTACAACACTAAGCTTCAAAACCTCTCTAGGAGATTTGTGTTTTTTAATTAATTATGCAATGTTTCCATTCAAATCAAGAGAAACAAGTAGTAGTTGCTTCTCTCCATGCACAGTGCAACAATATATCTACGTCACTAGCATGCACTTGCACATAAAGTTAAGACATAAATATTTAAGTGTGTTTAAATTCCTCCATGTATAAACCTACTTTTTTTTAGGCAAGATGTAATGCTAACTTGTTCTCAAATTTTAGAGGTAGTATTAAAGCAGACCAGTTTGATCCCTAATTATTAAGGTGTTGGTTCAAAGTCATTGGAACAACTAGCATAATAACATACGTCTCAGAGAGATAAATTATATTATCTCAGGAATGCACCTAATCCTAACTTATGTAATCATTTAATCAAAGTGATTGACTGAAAGAAGTCTATCATATCATAGAACAAATAATATACCAACACGTAACTCATTACATAACAATTTAGCACAAAAAAGGTTATAGGTGCTTTACATAAAAATTTAGCATAAAAAAGGTTATAGGTGCTTAATAACCTCGCCTGAGATTATAAAAGAGGGGGAATGCTTTGAATCATGTCGCACTTTTTTAATCTAAAATATCCCTTTCGACCTCCGATAGTCCATGAATTGAATGTCAAGAGTGTTTGTAGATACTTTAAATTTTTTTTTAGGAGGACTAATGTTGGATACAATGTGTGGCACAATGTGTATGATAAGTTACATGTGTAACAGACAAAATAAATATCGAATAAAAATAATATATAAATTGTTAACTCAGTTCGGTGCAATATCACCTACGTCTTGGGGACATTCAACCCAAAAAAATAAAATTTCACTATCAATAATAAAAATACAAATAGTATTAGATGAACATACCTTATTCCATGCCTCTCAATTGAAATCCACTTTCTTAATATTATCAGTTGTCATACCCAATAATTTACCTACCTTTTTTACAATTTTCATCTGACTCATATATTTAATTCATATCCACACATTAACACCTAGTTAGGTCATATTGTTCATCTTCATTAGCATTTTCAAAGAAAGGACAAGCATCATGGATTCAAAAATGTGTTACTTGTAGTTAATAAGAAATTAGGGTTCACTACGCCATAATTGACTTTTAGCAGCGCATACAAAGACAGCGCTTTTTAAAAAAGCGCTGCTAAAGAGTCATTAAAAAAAAAGAAAAAAATTGCCTACCAAAGACAGCGCTTTTTGATAAGCGCTGCTACAGTGTAATAAAAAAAATAAGAAAAAAAACAGCATACCTACGACAGTGTTTTTAGGAAAAGCGCTGCTAAAGGGTTGCTAAAGGCATGGGCTAAGACAGCGCTTTCCTAAAGCGCTGCTGTAGGGTGCGCCAAAAAAGCGCTTTTCTAAAGCGCTGTTGTAGGTGTGTGCCAAAGAAAGCGCTTTCCATGTAAAGTGCTGCTATATCCATGTGCTAAGACAGCGCTTTTGAAGCGCTGTTGTAGGTATTAAAAAGCGCTGCCATAGGTGTTATTATTATTAAAATAAAGTATTACAGAATTTTAAAGAAAGCGCTTTCCTTGTAAAGCGCTGCTAAATGGTATTGTAAAGAAAGCGCTTTGAGAAGCGTTGTTGTAGGTAATAAGAAGCGCTGCCATATGTGTTATTATAATTAAATTAAAATATCAAAGAATTTTTTAAAGAAACATAACCCTTTGCTAGCTTGCGCACGTTCTTCATTCTTTCTTTCTCTTCCCTGCGAACCAGAACCCTATTCACCACGACCGGCCGTCGCCCTCCTCCGTCCAACTGCCGTTCCTCCGTTGCTCACCTCCGTTCAGCCTGTGTTGCATATCTCCTTCATTTGACCGTCCGTTTTCGACAGAGTCTGTAGCGCATTTCGGCCATTGTTACGGTATTTGAAGTTTTTCATTTTTCATTTTTCTAGATTATTGTCTTAGTATTTCATTTTTCTGGATTATATGATGTTAGTGTTACTTCTTTTCTGAGTTATTGACTTGTTTTTGTTGATACCGTTGATGAGAACTACTCTTTTGATATTGGTTTGAGTTTTGTATACAAGGTGTTTGTTGAAATGCCACAATGAATTTACTTATGTTAACTTTCATTATATCTAGTCGTATACAAGGTGTTTGTTGAAATGCCACACCTTATATGAGTTCTTTTTACTAATAATTTTTATTATTGTTGCCTATAAATCTTATTTGAAATTGGCATTCTGATAAATTAGATATATGTATGTAAATCTTTCTGTGATGATGATGATGATGAAAAACAGCTAGGATTGTATTTATGATTATAAAGAATGTGTTTACAAATTACAAAAAAAAAAGAAGAAAAAAAAGAAGAAAAGACAAAAAGTGTCTAATTCTGAATTGTTGAAAAAAAATATGGATCATAGTCACTAACAAGCTCAGTTACCATGTGTGTGAATAGATAAAGGGCTTAATGTGATTGCACTAGAATAAAAGAGAGCAAAAAGAAGGATGAGTAAGTTAGACTTAGGCATAACGACATGATTTGGATTGGTTTGTATAGGAGGGAGTCTAATGACCGTACAATTGTGGATTTGTGTTCTTACGATATCCTTAGTGTACAAAATTAGTACCTATTGACGCGATCTTGACCAAAGAAGAGTTCACAGCCTAGAATGAGTATCTGAATGTTTTTGTGTTTCATGAGTTTTGACAATACTTTGGTTAATTCCCATGGGCAAATCCTATTGTGTACGGTTTCATCACTTTGAGGTTATTATAATACCAATTTAAATTCGATTCTTTCAATCATTTTCTATGAAGTCATTTGCTTAATTTGATTGTAATTGTTTGCTTAATTCGATTGTTGTTCATAGGATAGAATTGATTAAATTCTATTGTATGCATGTTCCTAAATTTAATTGCGTGTTATCGTTTGCTTAATTCGTTAACTCGTCATATTTCTAACCGTTTGCTTAATTCGGTAAATAATAACATAATTCATTTGATGTTGATAAGCGCTTGTCTGATTAATATCATAATCGAATAGGATTGGAGCCGCTTAGGGATTGACGTTATAATAGCCGATGATTAGTCGGAACCCGAATCAGTAGGATTAGCCATTTTAGATTATTTGATAATCACTTTTTTAATCACTTTTTTTCCTCTTATTTTATAAATCAAAACTTAAAACTCCCGTAAACCTTTTCTTTAGTTGGTTGAAATAATACAAGAATCCTTGTGAGAACGATACTCGAGTTGTCGTTACCGCTAACTATTTTCTTAAAATTACTCGTTTTTGATCTGTGCGCGACAGCAGATCAGTAGTCGATTAAAATCAAGAGATTTATGCAATATTTCCATTAAAATCAAGAGAAAAAACTAGTAGATGCTTCCTTAAGTAGTTGCTTCTCTCCATGCAGAGTGCAACAATATATCTACGTCACTAATGCACAGTGCAACAATATATCTACTTTCACATAAAATGTTTCTCTATAAGCTTCAAAACCTCTCATTAGTGATTGGTTCATAGCAATTTTTGAAAGAAATCGTTGGCGCATTATATCACAAATCATCCTTACAAGATCCAAAAATAAATTTTTGACTTACAATTGATTTTCATCTACTGCTGACCTTTTGATCAACCAGTTGACCAAAGTCAACTCTCTAACCATAGATCTAATGTGCTAAAGTCTATTCTCCATGTTTGCATTGATCCTAACTTCTCCATACATCCAAGTATCTTTCCCAACCATCATGAGTGAACCATATTCTGCATCATTCAATTTCTAAATTATTAACATGTAGAACCATTCACATTTAACAATTTTAAACTAATGCAATCTCTAACAAAGCAATATTTCCACTGCACTCTAATTGATCATAACTGACTTCACTAATCTAATTTCATTCAAACCAATAATTTACAAGATTTCCAAACAATTTCACACTAGAATTTCACAAAATGTATTGACATATTAATGTGCCAAGCAAACTTACTGATCTAACAGTTTTTCAAAAAATATGATTTCCTCTTCACTTTAAACACAGCAGAATGTTCATTACTACAAAAAAAAAAGTTCATTAATGCTCACTCTAATTGCATCACCTTCTAAGTTCTTTGCGTTGCAGCATTCAATAACATATAACTAATAGCATTCACACTTACACTAATAGTATAATAACAGTCAGTTCACATTATATCAATTCACATCATGTAACCAAGTTAACATCCATCTATCTAATGTCATTCACTAAGATCACTTAACATAACAAAACTTAACTAACATTGTAACAAGCTTGTTGTAATAGAAATTCAATATAACTAATATAGCTGCATCGTAACTAACTCAACAATATAACTGATTTAATAGCAATTAACCACCAAATTATAACTAACTCAATTGCAATTACACAATTAAACTTAACACCCATAACTAACTAAAGTTAACACTGTGATTAACAATTAATTGATTTGGACATGAAAATTTAACAGAGACTAACAGAAGTTAATGTAAGCGGAAATATTCACTGATTATTTATATAGGATTAAAACATCAATATTTACTTGTTGTAGACATGATTTAAAGATGAGGGTTGTCATTCTTGTCACTTTGATTCGGAATCTTGAAAAGATGACTGACTGGATCTTCCTCTGTATTTCACACTTCCATTCACAACTCTCAATGGAACAAGTTGAGGAGCCGTTAGTTATATTTCTTGCTCCTGTGGTTACATAGGGGACCTAGTCATATAATATATACAACCCTAGTCACTATCTATTATGGGCCCAGGGTTTAAGCACACACTTTTTCCACATCAATCAGGTTTCAGATACTCACTGTTTGACTAAAAGAGATCACTTAACATATAAAA